AGTTTTTACATCTCAAATTTGCATTTCTTTGCTAGAAATGCTCTTAGCTTACAGTTTTTAAGAAAAATTGTACCGTTGAGATTCGTAAGAAATGATTCAAGGGCATTAACGGAAAGGCATTGAAAGTGGTATTATCATTTTTTGAGTCCCAAAAGTATTTTTTACGAATTAATTAATAAAAGAAAAATAGCTTTAGCTCGGAAGTGATATGTGGGAGCTTACATGATTATTTTTGGAAGCTTTCCATGCAAGTGGAATTTGCACGAAAAATGGTTTCATGATTGTTTTTGTAAAAATTCGCAAAACTATAAAAATCGTGAACATTATCTAACAATTTTTTGAGAAAAATACAACCGTTGAGTTTTCACAAGAAATGTTTAACAGACATTAAGGATAAGGTCACAAGGTCTTTGGAAGCGTTACTACTATTTTTTTTTGTAAAGAAGGTATTCTTGATGAATTTTTAAACTAACAAATAAATTTAAAAAAGCATTCATTTACCCTTTCTGAGAAAAATAAAACTGAAAAATATCGGGGGTGTTCCAGGGTAAGGTGGAGCTCTAAACCCTTTGGAGAAAATGTTCAGTGCATCTCCCGTATGCGGAAAAATCAAGACTCCGCATACGGCAGCCACACTGAAGATGATAGCAGAAAGCTCCGACTTTATCAGAACTCTACAAGTGAGCATAAATAACCATTCCATGCCAAAACCAAATAGCTGAAATGAAAATTGCTTGCGGGACGCCTAATTGAACGAAGATGCTTTCTAGTTTCCATACGTATTTTATCGTCGGACCGACATCTTGAAAGACAATGTACGTATGGATTATGGATTAAACAGTACAGGTTCAGGTTCTTAATACCTGGTACACATGTTGCTAATGGACAAACAGAAAATATCATGGTCCAGCCGGCTATAATTTCTGGATCACAACCGAGTTGGCGAGGCCTGCCTGCTCAATTGTTTGACTCGGATCATTGAGGAGCTTGGGAGGGAACCCCATAATCTGCAGGTGATAATTTCTTGGACCCTCAGGCCTTGATGCATCAATGAAAGTGCGAATGTCACTGATGGTATGGTGGTAGTTAAAATGTCCAACGATGCGGGTTCCATCAGCCAACCTAAGTTGAACCGATGTTGATGGCAACTTTTCATCCACAACCAGGCCTGCAGAAGGGGTTGGAGCAGTGTTGAGAGGAGTTGATGCAGTCATTGACTCGGATGCTGCTGGAGTAGAGCTGCTACCTAGAGTTCTTCCCACACCCTGAAATGGAACATGTCGCTTCACCGGTTCCTGCAAGGACATAAATATTAATCCCTTGTAAAGTGAAATATGTCCACTAGCCTATGAAAACAGGCCATCAAAATCTAAAATACATTTTGACAGCAGAGAGATGCACTTTTTGCAGATATGACTTCATTGGAAAATCTTCAACTAAAATATTTCCGAGTGGAATTGTACAAAGGAGATCTTAAAGAGAGAACTCACTGGGCACTTTTCATTCCTCCTTATTAGATTAACATGAACTGAGGTACCTCTATCTGCAGGTTCCAACTCTTTTGGACATTCAGATTTTTTTATGCTCTGCATTGAGACAAAGAATGGAGATATAAAATATCATTTATGAGAATATCACGAAACCGAGCAAAACCAAACCAGTGCTTTGCATGAGTAATTTGCTGCCATTAATAAAGGAAATCAATGAACAACGCAGATTGTACAGAAAACCAGTTTAAAGGACATTAATGAACAACCTCCACAATAACAATTGATTCTATAATCTACTAGTTTCTTTGTTCTTTTTTCAATTAGTCAAGCTTCCATTGACATTACCTCTAAGAAAGATGCATTTTCAGGATCGTCCAACCGCCTTAAAGGGCCATCATTTATAGTAAAACCGTTGGACCAGAAAATGATGTTGTGAACAACAGTCTCAGGCTGCACAGGAGTAGGTTGTACAGTTTCCCCAGAAAGTAATCTACCAGTTCCAGCAAAGCTTCTGGAGCTTGAAGATGCACTAGAAGGATCAAAAGGCCCCTCTGTAGCTCCTAACTCCCTTGCCTGATCAAAAATGGAATCCACATCGTTATCCTTTGTAGGATCCTGGACAAGCATTCCACTGCAAATATTGTAATTACCAATGTTAGATTTTCTTCAATATTTCATGCAAAAATTATCAGCTTCTAGAATTGTTAATTTCTGTAAGATAAAAAAAAAAGAAAAAGATTTTATTGAAACTTGGACACTAGCCATGAAAACAAGACTTGGGCATGACATAAGATTAAAAAAATTGAATCGAAAACACAATCTAACAAATCACGGAAAGAAAAAAGAACTAAGCACAGTGTGCATAAAGTCATACTATTCCTTTCAAGGCATAGGCCACATTGTGATACATAACGGAACTAATATGCGATGCAAACCTGTAAATAGAATACTAAGTGAACATAGTCTTGAGAAATGAACTACTTCACCTGAATTTCACAGACTCAGCAGAATTCCATTAGTCTAGTTTTGTGTGTGTGCATTATTGTAAATTGATTACTGAGTTTAACAAATATGAGTATAAACATTCAATAATCATACATGGAAGTATTCTTGTTGTAATACTAAGACACAAGATGGTACATAACTTGCAGCGGATTCCCGTAAAACTCATTTTCGAGCCATCTTAAGCTCCTACAAATATGTTCCTAATGGAACCCAGAAATGCCTACCCACAGTTAAGAGTTAAATAACAATTTCTGATCAAAATGAAATTAAAGGCGATATATCCTATTTATGACCCAATTGATGATAAATGCCCCCTTTTGATGGTATGACTGTATGCCCTCCAAAGAATCTTCCTGAAAATACTGATGTTAATCCTACACGGCATGGGTGCAACAAGATTAGATAATCCTTAGTTGGATCAATGGTTCCTTGACGGTCGTGTCTGTTGTTGCAAGCACTGCTCGTGCAACCTGGGAGGCCCTAGAACAACAGTATGCATCCTCTTCCCAGAATAGGATTCGGATTCTTTTTCTGCAAAATGAACTCCTTCAAACTAAGAAAGGTGATCTTTCCGTTGCTGATTACCTTGATATGAATTCCATAGCTCAGCTAATAATCTTGCCCTAGCTGGAAAACCAGTTAATGATGATGAATTGGTTCAAATAATTTTGGGCTAATAATCTTGCCCTAGCTGAAAACCAGTTAATGATGATGAATTGGTTCAAATGATTTTGGATAACTTGGTCCTGCTTTTGATACTCCATTGACAGTCAATTCAAATGCAGGGCCAAGGTTATTCAAAATTATTAGAACCAATTTATCATCATTAATTGGTTTTCCAACAAGAGGTCGCACTTGGTGCGATGGCAAGTGCCTTCGCCCATGAGCGGTAGGTCTCGGGTTCGAGACTTGGGAGCAGCCTCTCCATAAAATGGGGGTAAGGCTAGCCGACATTCACCTCTCCCAGACCCTGCGTAAAGCGGGAGCCTTGTGCACTGGGTACGACCTTAATTGGTTTTCCAACTAGGGGCAATATTATCAACAATGGAATTCATACAATCAAGGTAATCAACAACGGAAATCACCTTTCTTAGTTTGAAGGAGTTCATTTTGCAGAAAAAGAATCCTATTTTAGGAAGATGACGCATACCCTTGTTATAGGGCTTCTCAGGTTGCCCGAGCAGTGTGCTTGCTTGCGATAGGACAGACGCCACCATAAACCATTGATCCAGCTAGGGATCATCTGATCTTGTTGCACCCATATGCTGGATTAACATCAGTATTTCCTGGAAGATTCTTTGGAGGGCATATAGTTGTACCATCAACATACCCCAATAAATCGCGAATCTTGAGGATGGGGAGAATTTGGGCCAACCATACGGGATAGTTGGTCCTGTCAAGTTTGATATTGACAATGGTGGTCATGGAGGATGAAAATGGATTGACGGGGAGATTGCAGAGGGTTAGGGTTGGTTGGCTGGGCAGCGTTGACATTCTTGTTGTCAGCGAAGGTGATGGGCTAGGTAAAAAAAAAAATGAAGGATCTTTGTCGTTAGACAACATGTAAAACTTACAAGACTCGAGGTTATCAGTAATTTGCATGCCCTCACAGTGATGGGTTGCTTGTATTTATAATGGTTTCCAGATCACATGAAGGTTTTGAAAACCTTATTTACACGCCAAGTTTGAAATTCAACCTGGACCTAACAGACTTCTTCCCGGATAAGGCCGGAAGATTGAGATAACAAACTGAAGAGTTTGTATCGGAACTGGAAGTCTGACTTGGTCTAACAGTCTACACACAATTAAGAGTTCCATAACAGTTTCAACCCTTCTGACCAAAACGAAATTAAAGGCTATATATCCTACTTTCAACCCAACTGATGACAAAACGCCTCCTTTTTCTGACCAAAACATAAAAATTTTAGATTTCTATGTTTTAATTTATATAATTTGGCAAACAAGAGTGAAGAATAGGCAACGAAAAACATAAAAACTGTTAAATTCAAAAATTTACCGAACATGGGAATAATATAATTACAAACAAACCAGAAAGAAGAAGAATTTCATAAACCGAATAAAAAAAATATGATCCGAAAATTGAAAGAAATGTTGAAAAGGGATAATCGGAAAGAGAGAGAAGGACGGACCTTTTCTCGCCACCAGTGTAGTACTCCGGAGGGCCATCGGAGTCACTGTCCGAGTCCCCAGACCTCTGGTTAAGATCGGAAAGTGTACGGATTCCTCCGGTTCGACTCTTTTTCTTATCCTCCGACTCCATTTGCTATCTCGGTGTCGAAACCAGACAGAGAGAGAGATCTTGATTATTGACTGACTGACCAGCTCTGTGAGCGCGTCACTTAAAACGTATTCAACGCACATCAGATGCGCGTGTAAAATATATTTCTGAAATTTACAGTTTACACCCCTCAAATTTGAGCTAACTACATATCACAACTTCATCTTTAGTGTTCTTTTCAAATGCGCCACGCTGTTTTATGTTTTTGCACATTGCACACTGAGGTTTCGGTGACCACTGACCGAAACAATTTATAAATTACCGTATAGAAATTCGTCTATTAAAATATTGTAAATCGGCTGACGTAAAATGCCAACCAAAATCGCTTTTTCGTAGTTGAAGAGGAACATCGCACAAACGGTGATGGTGAAAATGGCATTTCGCACCAGTCGAACAATACAGAACCGGAGCGCGCGCAACAGCGCGGGCCGTCTCAATCACTCCGTCGATGCGGGACTCTTATCCGCCGTACATCCAAACTTAGTCGATCGCGATGACGAAGATTCTCATGCGACGCTGAGTTCCGACTCGGACAGCTCCTCCGACTCCGATGGCGAGTCGACGCGGTTGTCGGGACTCGAGGCGAGCTTCCGAGTCGTGTCCGAGTCGATTCAGAGAATGGAGCAAGCGGAGCTGGAGATGGCCAAGGCAAGGGAGGCTCTGCGGCTGAAGGCGGAGAAGCAGCGGGTCGAGCTGGAGACCGAGTTGACACAGATGCTGCTGCAGACTCAGTTGCAGATCGCGTCGTTGGTTTCTCAGCGGCAGAGTCGTCCGAGTCGTAAAAGGAAGCGAGTCGAAGAAGACGAGCCGTCGTCGGAAGGAGCTTTGGGCTTGAGCCTCCTTCAATGCAATTTACTATTTTAGTCATTTCATTGGTAATAATTACTAATGGATGCCATCATTGGTTTGTGCCTTTCATTTAGGCATGTTGCCGCGTCAGCCGTAACATTCCTAATCAATAATGCAATGTAAAATTAAAACACATGACATCATCTTATTCGTTTAAAGTTTCAGGATTTTTGTTGCGCCAAAAGTTAGACCTTTAAGTCGATTTAGAGCTCTATCTTTGTACTCCAACATAGTCGGTTTAGAATCGGAGGAATAGAAAATCGAAGGAGGAGGAAAATGATGTAATTTAACTTGCCTTGGTTGTTTGATCATGGACAACTAATAATCTCATGCTGATTCCGCCAGGTGCCAATACGACTCTCGAACTGCAGAGGGCTGGCAATTATAGTCCGAGGATGGAGTAGACGGAGTTGGAGATTGCCAAGGCGAGCAGCGGTTTGAGCCGGAGCGCGAGTTGCCGAAGTTTCGATTGAAGATTGCAAGCGACTTGAACAAGATAAGTCATCCTTCATGTCTTACGGCCAGGCCGAGTTCTTTGCATTGGTTCAGTCAGTGACTTGGGGGATCAAATTTTGTAGATGAAATTTACTATTTTAGTCATTACATTGGTTATATGCTAACTTGTCTGCTAAAATTTGGAGCGCGTATAAAATTATCATGGATATATAGCCTTTTATATGCCCATAAATAAGCATATCTATGAAATTAATCAACTACGAGCCTGCGCTTCTCTGTGCTGGAGTCGGAATTTTGGGGTGTTGGCTGTGCGGAACTGAGTAAACCCTTCTGTCGATTCCTAGCACTCTCGATGTAATGATGCAGAGGTGGAAGACGGCCTTGTTCTCCATCTTTGGGTACTTGTCCTCGGATTATCTGTCAAAACCGTGAAGATGAGCGTGCCAAAACTACGGTAAGAGAGAGCGAGAGGGATAAGAAGATGACGATATTCTTTACCTTTGATGCCCACGACCGCTCAGCTTGTTGACAGACATCTCTAATATCCCTTCCAGACATTCTGAAAACAGGAGGACAAGAAAAAGCATGAACTGATATTACAATTTCAAAACTATAGCATTGTTAGATTGATAAGCTAAGGAACGATATAATTGTACTCTGTAGCATATAAACATAAAATTAAAGTTCATTGACCCATAAAAACTCATAATGGTGTCGAGAATAACTCATTCCCACGAAGTAAAAACCAGGAGTCGGACTGGCATTGCCGTGCACATGGTGATTAAATTGGGGAAATGAGGTAAAAGATTTTTGTTTGTCAGAGTCTACGTAAAACTTACCCTTCGGTTGCTGATGCTAATTCTTCTAATTCAGCTTCGTTCAGGTGCTTTGCATACTGAGCTGCTATTTCCTTACGATTTTGCTGATCAGGTAGGTCAAACATGATAATTGAATCAAACCGACTGCACATTGTTGATAAAAAGTGAGCAAACAATTATGGAAACTTAGGGTTCTAACATCCTCCAAATAAGAAAACATACCTAATCAAGGCCAGATCAAGGTCTTGCTTTCTATTTGTTGCAGCAATTACAACCACCTTCTTATCTTGTTCAAATCCATCAATCTGTGCGGAAAGAGTAATACTTAATAAGGACATCACTTTAGCTTCTCAATCATCTAAGTTTCCGACTCAAATAAAGGGTTCATTTTCAGCATTATTGTGAAGTAATGAGTATCAAATTTCACCTGTTGCAATAAAACTGATAAGACTCTCCGTGTGGCTTCATGCATTTCGCTATCACGCGAAATAGCAAAAGAATCAATCTGAGTAGAGTCAAAATAACAGGAAGCAATGTTATCACATCACTGTACAACCTCCAACTGTATGATTTCAAATAGGATACAAAATACAACTACAGTCCTACAAGGGCATCATGTTACTAGGCTCACAGAAATATCTTAAAACTTGGGAGTTAGGATGAATGTCTCCTAAGGTGGCTAGGGATTTATTGCTTCAATTACCTCATCCAGAAAAATGATAGCACCATCTGGAAGCTGATTTGCAAGTGAAAACACTTTTCCTAATAATCGTTCACTCTCACCATAGTACTTGGACAGGATAACCTCAAGGGGTACGTATAACAATGGGACGCCCTGCGAAACAGTCACCGAACATGAGAATAGATTGACAGACCAAAAATGGTAGTGCCTAGCAGCTCACCGCTTGATTAGCAATGACACGAGCAGAAGATGTCTTCCCCGTACCTAAAATTGGATACACATTATATCAACACTAATGCATTGCATAATTCTCATAAGTTGCAAAAAGCAGGCACAAAAGAAGTGGACTACGCTCACACATTCAATATTTAGCAAACCCCTAAGACTATTTCTGTCGTTAAAACTACTGGTAACCAAAATCTCCCCAACTCATTCTCTCGACAAGCAAGAATAAAAGATATGTGAATAATTCAGTAGGTCAGTCGAAGAAAATGTATCTTGACAAATATAGTAAGTTATACAAGGTTGATCAGTGCACCTGGTGGCCCTTCAAAGAGTACAGCTCGAGGTCTATTTGACTCAAATTTACAACGAGTCCCACGGGCAATATCATCATATGTTTCAGGACTGAGCAGAGCCAACAGAATAGTGTCTTCTATATCTCTACACAAAGAGCAAGAGTAGCTGGTAAGAAACATAGGGTTTATTAATTTCATATATTATGGAAGAAAAAAAAAAGTTATCTACCTACCGTTTTTGCTGATCATATCCAGCAATATTGTCCCATGAAATTTCTTTTCTTGTGGAACTAAGATTGGGTTCATTAATTCCATAAATTCTCACTCCCATGGACTCAAGACTAGCTATTAGTTTATCTGCAGATGGCATTTGTGTTGTGGTATCTTCTCTCGGTTTTCTTTCCACAGTACTATTTTGCCATAACTTTGTCCCTGCTAATAGCAAAGCAGACACCAGAGCATCCAGCTCTTTGGGACTCAAGGTCCCATCCTTCATAAATTCAATTTCCTGCAATAATTTATGCTGACTGATATGAAAATCTTAAATTCCACCAGTTATTTACCTTTGGAGTTTGGTAATTGAAGCCGCACAAAGTAAAGGAGACAAATTGCAATAATATTCATAAACTGCATAAAACAGACTTACAGCTCTATCTGAGGAGGTAATTACTGAGTGGAACAAGAGAACTTGCAAATCTCCTTCGTCCTTACTCACATCTTTTAATTCCCCTCCATCACCTCCAGCTTCCTTCTTTTTTTCTGGGCGAGTTAGCATGAGTTGCCAAGCAGCTCCACTGACATATTTTGAAAGAAACAAATAGCACTACTTAGCATATTTGGGTTCACGAAACTGCAATTAATGATAAAGGGCTTGAACATAATGTTTAAGCAACTGTTATAGTTAGAACCGAGGAAACACTGAAAGGACCAAAAGCAATGCTCTAACAATACCTGTCCCAAGCACGTAGTGACATATCTAAACCACCACCACGTTCTTCTACCTTTACTCCAAGATGAGAAGCAAGATTTGCTATCAGCTGTGAAGCTTCACACGCCGGAGGAATTTGGAACTTGATGGAAACCTATACCCATTGTAAGATCGTATTAACGGTGTTCGAAAGAGTACAATACATGGATTCTTTTATGAGAACAAAGCACACAAAACAATTCAGTTAACCGCAATAACCTTTTGTCCCTTAACAGCAACAGTAAAGGGGGGATAAAAACCGCGTCCAATTCCTTTACTTCTGAGGAGGTCTAGAATTTGCTGTCGTTGTTTCTTGGTAATTTCGTCCAGGTCTACATGACTTTCACTAGCAGGAGGGTCAGCCGGCAAAGCGGGCTTGGAAATATCCTGCACAATTAAAAAATTCACATTAAAACTAGTTCAAGAATGCAGCTTTAACTCGTTACCTATTGAAAATCGACATAATCCACCAGAAAAATTGATGCACAGGTACCTCCTCTGCATCTGCATAAGCCACCTCTATGCCTCCAAGTCCGATCAAACCGGCCAACACGGCTGGAAACACGAGAGATTGGTGCTCAAAAGACCCTGCATTTGGCAATCATAGCATAAATTTTGAACTTATCCAATTCCAACTAATTATAATTAAAATATTGACGAACAAAATGGCATAATCTCTAACATTCTTGAGCATAAAAACAAATAATTCAAACCATTTAGCACCAAAAATGTCTTGAAATTCAGAAAAGTTAAATCAAATTTACGAGTTTAGAGGGGGTTGCTTACGGTGGCAGAGAAGGCGAGGAATTGCGAGGTCAGGTGAAAGAGCACGCGGAGGATTAGGGTTTAGGGTTCTGCGGACGGGGACGGATCGCCATGTCCGAGCAGTTGTCAGCACTCGTCGGAAAATTGTCATAGCTTCTTTACTGAGGAGCTCAAGTAAAAATTTTGACCGCTATGTTTGATTGTATGCGTAATTGTGGCACGGAATGCCGGAACCCACTAAAAAATCTTATATATAGAGCGAGCAAGCAAGCAACCGCCCAAAACGCACCGCCGGTGGTTGCTGGTGTCGCCGCTGCGTCACGAAAACTGCGTTTTTAATAGGTGGGGTTGTTTGTATATTTATCAGACAAAGCCCATCTCTAATTTTGGGCCCAATTGACAATTAAGTGTTAGTTTCGGGTCAACCTGTCAAGATCCGTTTATTAAATGATGGATCTTGGGTCAACATGTCCAACTCTTGTTTAAGAACACTACTTTTGGCTGCTGAAAATTCAGCAGCCGGTCCTGCTTACACCCAATCACGGATGAACACGTGTTCACCTGTGATTGGGTGTAAATAGGACCAGCTTCAGCAACCAATTTCTTTCCCTTGTTTAATATATGGGTTTGAGTTTAGCTTCAACTCGTCTAATAAATGAGTTGAGTTTCCATTAAGAATAATGTTAGGGAGGTCAAATTTTGTAAAACAAATGATGTGGTGGTTGATGATTAGATTATTATTCAAGCGTTGATTAATGCACTTGTTTCTATTGGTAAACGGCCACTTGCATTATCCTTGGATTCATTAACTATTTTAATTAAATTGAACTAATGCTTGTTTTGATTGATTCAATGGTTGTCAAGATAGAAAATAAACTTAAACGGATTTTTGTTTAATTCAAGATGCATGACCAATCTCTTAAAATGAAGCTGGTTTGTTGCACACAACTTAAGTCAAGCTAAAGTTCTCATATCTAAATCAAGATCCCACTGCACATAGCGAAAATCATTCTTACCACAAGCTATTAATAGGAAATAGATTATCTCCGGATCTCTTCCACTAATGCCACCAGATCAAGTGATCCGGACCTTTGAAATTTCATCCAACGCCAAAAAAATTATTATAGTTTTTAAGAGATCAAAACATGTGGGCCGTTAAATGAAAATTCAAAAGCTCGGATCACTTGATCCGGTGAAAGTGATAGAGGGCTAAAAATAACAGACAGCACTACTAAAGCATATTTTGGTTCACAACCCAGGATCAATGATAAAGGGCTAAAAAAAACGCAGCATAAAGTATAACCCAAAAGCGATAGAACTGAGGAAACACAGATAGAACCAAAATCATTTTTCTAACAGTAACTGCGCCAATGTTCAAAATAAAATAAGCGCGCATGTACACCACCACCACTTTCTATTATTAGTCCAAGAGAGGACTTTTTAGGTAGATAATTACCACCGACGCAATTCAAACCTTCAAATTTAACGGCGACGGTCAACTTAGTATAAGTTGTTACACGATGTATACATTTTCTTAATAAATATTAGAATTAAATTGGCCTAATCACTGATCGATTCAATGTTTGCCGATATAAAGAATAAACATTAGATACAATGGAGCTGGTGTGTGGATATTGCTTGATCGAATTGAGATAACAAAAAAAATTGAGATACCATTATAGTAATGTTGCAGTTACAAGTAAATGCTCAAAACGTTATTATTATCTAGGAAACCGAGAGCCACAAAGCCATATATAGTAGATAAGTAGAGTCTGGTTGGGACCTGCCACCTTGGGTTCTGAATCCTCGATCATCATCATTCATCACTCACTGTGTCGTCCCTTGATGCTTACGACTAGGCAGTTTAAGTTTCTATAACTTGTATTCTTTCCAATTGCTTTTTGTTGGACCATCCCAACTTAGTTTGTCAACATGCATGCTTCTTTCTTGGAGATCCTTTTTTCGGGTTTTTATTTTTTATTTTTTTTTATTTTTTTATTTTTGATTTTGGATGGCCAATGCGTTTTGGGGTTTACTTTGATGCAACTACTATCTCCATTACAAAAATAAATAAATAAGGAATAAATACGTTAATAGATAATAGAAACAAACATGTCTCGTTCAAAACAACGACAAGCATCCGATGTAGCAAAGAAATAAACTTCATAAAAGTCGAATTATTAAGAACTAGGTATGCCTACATACTTTGTTCTATTAATAAAGGATCCAACTGACAGAAAAAGCACCAAGGAGTTAAATCATCTTGTCTCTCCCCTCATCTCTGGTCTGCTGGTGCTGCAAATTCATTCATCTGGCGCTTGGCGGGCTCGATCTGCAGAAGGTTATGAATTATGATTACTCATTTTTACAAATAGTATTAGTTATAGCATAATTTGATAAAGAGAGTAGGATGAATACCAAAAACCACTCTTTGTTTAAGCTAAAAAAAAGTTTTTGAACGCAAAGAACCCTTAGCTTTGTTGGTAAGGTTTATAAGAAATCCCATATCAAAAGTTCTAATTGAAGAAAGAAGGAGAATGGCCAATACAAGTCCACTACAGAACAAAAACAGAAGAGTTCGAATATAGAAAAAATACATACAATCCAACATTAAAACTCTCGTCCATAAATATTTAACACTCGCATATAAGTAATCGTACGTACCTTCCCACCAGCTAATTGTGAAGTAAAAGTAGCCACCAAAGCATCCACCTCCTTCAGACTCCAGACCCCATCCTTCACAAATTCAATTTCCTGCAATAATTAATGTAGATTGATATAAAAATCTCAAAAGCCAACACTTCCTTATCTTTGGTATGCTGAAGAAGCAGCACAAAGCAAAACAAGAACAAATGCAGTGCAATATATTAAAAAAAAAACATAAAATGTAGCCTTACAAATGTATCTGAAAAAGGAAGTACTGAGCGGAATACTTTAATTCGCAGATCCCCTCCTTCACCTCCAGTTTCCTTCATTTTGTCTGGGCGAGCTAGCATTAGTTCGCAGATCCCATATCATGCTTTTTTCCTGTCTTTTTCTTTGGCCTTGTTTTTACCTGCAAGACAAGGAGAAAGAGAGCAATCAGTCAGCACTTGGAATCAAGCTTCCAGCCAGGAACTGACTGCCTGGAACCGCTTACCTGATTACTTACCTGGCATTGCTCTCGAGTACTCATCTTCAACATCTTATGTTTCCAGGGAAGATTCCGCATCTGCTTGAGGAACAGATAGGGCAAGTGCGAAGGATACAAGGAAGCATGTGGAGACAAGCGTAACAGCACACGTGCCGATACATCCATTACTCTGTCAAAAGCAAAAGTATCCCATATCAGCAGGGTGGAACGTACTCTAGATTTGATGGACTTGTTTTGACCCTCAAATTCTTCAGTCGGCCTTATACTCTGGAGGAAACCAGAAAACCCTCCAGCTCAGTTCAAGAATAAGCCTGTGGAAAGTTACTTCTTCAAAAGCAAAAGTATCTCATATCATCTCTTCTCATTTTTCTTCTCTTTATCCTTCATGCTGCTGCAAGATGGGGAGAAGGTGAACAATCAGTCGGAGCTTTGATTGCTTACCTTGACTGTCACCTCTTTCAGCAGACCCCCTAGCTCGGCGACTTGGGGGACTCCTACTACATGGTTTGTATCGCGCTTGACCAAGCCTGAAACTACAAGTAAGCTTCAAGTGAAATTGATACATTACCTTGTGCATCTCCACCAGTTAAAGATACCACCCCTGGATGGAGGAAGAGTACTTCCAGAGAAGATGCCACATCTACCTATGAGACAGATAAGGCAAGTCAAGACGACACCACACTCCGATACTTAGAAGTTTCGTGATTACGAGATCATTCTCCCACAATATTTCCTAATGTCATTTGTACTAAATCATTCACTTGTACTCACTAAAGGAGAGCTTGAACCTATGTACTTGTGTAAACCCTTCACAATTAATGAGAACTTTTCTATTCCGTGGACGTAGCCAATCTGGGTGAACCACGTACATCTTGTGTTTGCTTTCCTATCTCTATCCATTTATATACTTATCCACACTAATGACCGGAGCAATCTAGCGAAGATCACAAAAAGCGACCGTTTTCGCTACCTAGGATCTATCTTGCAAGAGAACGGAGAATTAGATGGAGATCTCAACCATAGAATACGAGCTGGATGGATGAAGTGTAAGAATGCATCCGGCGTGTTGTGTGACCGTCGTAGGCCACTGAAGCTCAAGGGAAAATTTTATAGGACGGCAATAAGGCCAGCGATGTTGTATGGCACAGAATGTTGGGCGGTGAAGCATCAACACGTACACAAAATGGGTGTAGCGGAGATGAGGATGCTTCGTGGGATGTGTGGGCACACGAGAAAGGATAAGATTGGGAATGAGGATATCCGAGGTAAAGTAGGAGTAGCCGAAATTGTAGGAAAGATGAGAGAAAATCGGCTCCGGTGATTTGGACATGTGCAAAGAAGGCCGAATGACGCTCCGGTTCGAAGATGTGACTACGGGACAGAGGTTCAGGGCCGAAGGGGTAGAGGAAGACCTAGGAAAACTTTGGAAGAGACTCTAAGAAAAGACTTAGAGTACTTGGATCTAACGGAGGACATGACACAAAACCGAGCGCAATGGCGTTCTAGGATTCATATAGCCGACCCCACTTAGTGAGAAAAGGCTTTGTTGTTGTTGTTGTTGTTGAGCTAGCATTATTTGACAATAAACTCGACTGACATAGTTCACAAGGAAATAAAGCACTACTAAGCATATTTTGGTTCACAAAACCACAATCAATGATAAAGGGCTAAAACAAACAGCTTAAAAATAACCCAAATGTGATAGTTAGAACCCAGGAAACACTAACAGAAGAAAAAATAATTTCTCTAACAATACCTGCGAGAAGGAAAAAAATAGTGGATGCGCGCATGTAAACCACTACCACTTTTTATTATTAATCCACGATCAGAAGCAATATTTGCAATCAGTTGTGCAACGTCACGAGTCGCAGGAGTTTGGAACTTGATTAAAACCTATAACATTGTAAACTAGGGTCAATTTGGTCGAAAGAGTGCTATATATATGGTTTGTTTTATGAGAAGAAACAAACCGCACATAATAAATCAATTAAGTGCAATAACCTTTTGTCCCTCAGCAGCACTAGGAATGAAGCGCAAAGCGGGTTTAGAAATATCAATATCCTGCAGAATTAAAGAACAATAAAACCAGTTCAAGAAGTATGCATGCTAATTGACATAATAATCTCACACAAATTTGATGCACAAGTTCGTTACTTTACTGTCCAGGTAGGAGTCATTTAGTGCATGGGCCAACGTTCTGTCAGTTGCTTGTAGTCTCAACTCTCTTCCCACTACGCTCTCTAGAAACGCAGACAATTTAGCCAAGTTTGCAGACGTTTGAGCCAGACCTCTGACCCCAAGTGCGGTCAAACCAGCTGCCAAACCAACCAACACAATCTCAGACGCAGTGGTATGAAATTGGTGCTCCAAAGTGCCTGCATGGCATTTAAAATTATAAACATGCATAACCTTCCAGTTATAAATTAATTAATTGACAATTAAAATGGAAAAATCTCTAACATAACCAACAACGTAACATAATGCACGAATCATTCTTATTCTTGAGCAAGCATAAAAATAAATAATTCAAACCTTTTAGCCCAAAAAATTCATGGCAAGTTCTGTATCTATTTATTCCTCACTCTTTAGTGTAAATATATTAGAAAAACCCAAATATGATTTCCATGTCAAAGACCACTAGAAAAGTCCTGAAAAATTCACAAAAAAAATTATTGAGAATTAAATTTACGAGAGAGAGGTTACTTACGGTGGCAGAGAAGGCTAGGAAATGGGAGGTGAGGTGAGAAAGCGCGCGGAGGAGGATTAGGGTTTAGGGTTTGACGGACGGGGACGGATCGCCAGGTTCGACCAGCTGTCAGTGCTCGCCTCAAAATTGCCATAGCTTCTGTCTCAAGAGTCAACTGAAATTATCGATCGATCGCCGTGTTTGTTGTGTCATGGAAACTGCGTTTTTATCTTATCAGGGGGTGTTTGTTGTGTCAAGGAGACTGTGTGTTTATTTTATCAGTGTTTGGATCAAAACTTGAACTTTGGGCCCAAGAAAGGGGCTGGCCCAAAAGGATTCCTGAAAGAAGAGTCGGCCGGAGCCCAGCAAATTGGCCGAAGCCCAACCAAAACCCAGAAAAGCAGAAAATGCCTTTTCTGACTTGGTGCAGCTCATGAATACCACTTGCTCACCTACCCAAAGGCCAAGTGGTATAGACTGACCAGCTATACAGCCCATAAAGTACTTTATAATGGCAGAACAAGTAAAATAGCTGATGAGTCACTGCCTCTCAAGTTGCATTCGGGCAAGGCTGCTGCTACAAGAGGCCAAACTGGGTTGTCTATAAAAGAAGAAAGAGAAATCAGGAAAAAAAACACTCAATGAAACAAACTAATGTAAGCACAAACTCTGCTCAAAGCTAAATTTGCCTTCAAAACGAAGCTGTAGTCAGCTCAAGCCTTCATCCCTCTCGGGACAAGCCTTCACTCAAACCTTTGTAATAGCTCTGCTACCTTGTTTAACCTTGCTGTAATATCGATTTCTCTTTGTAAACTCCTCTCCTTACTTCCCTCTAAAGCTCTCAGACCCTTGATAAGCCACAAAGATAGGGACCAGCAAGACGATCAGGCTTGCCCGACAAGGTTAAACCTTGCCCTACCTTCTAGTGTTCTAAACATGTTCTACATATCATATCGTCATCCATAAGATATTCTATAAGAACACGGGTTATAGGAAAAATAGTAGTAATTCAATCTAGCCTCAGTAAGCATATTATCTCAAAGCATTTCATAAAACATAATTGTGAAATCATGCTTTTCATGTGTGCATTTCTACTATCAAAACATGCATTTTTAGAAGGGGTTCACTCACCGTACACCGTTGGTGCAACGCCGTACCAAATAGGAATAACGGAACCGCTGCTATTAATTGCACCTAAGCACATAGATGATTCATTTAGTCAAACTCTACTCAAACGACTTAATTTGGAAAACGGACTTCAAAAACGGGTCAGGACATCGAAATTAGCCTAGGAGAGGACGAAAACCCGAAAAGTCAACCATACAGTCAACGTTGACCGTTGACCGCTCAAAGTTAAGGTCAACGCTGATAGTTGACCGAGTCAACGGTCAAACGGGGTCAAAGTCAACGGGTCTGGGCTTGGGTTGGATCCGGGTTGGGCTTGAGCTTTGGGCTTCGGTCCAAATGGTTTAGGGCTTAAAGATAATGGGCTTAGAGCCCTGATTCAAAAAGGCCCAAAGGCCTTTAGCCTAAGGGTTTCTGGGTTCAATAAGGGGGCGGGCCGAAGGCCCTTGAATTAAAAACGGCCCAAGGTCCTTAACTAAAAACAATTAAAATAAATTAAAAATAAAAAGGAAAATGGGTTTGGGTTGGGCTCGGCAGAAAGACCCAAAGGCCTAAGTTTGTTGGGTCGCCGGACCCAAGGAAGAAGAAGGCCGGAATTCGGCTGGAAAACTACATAACTTTGTCAATACTCGATGAAATCGAGTGATTCAAAAACGAAAGTTGTAGTTCTCGAAGAGACGAAGAGAATGGTACCTCGCTAGACGTCTAACTCGCCGTGGTTTGACCGGAAAATGCCTCGAAAGCCGCCGGACTCGCCGGAAACTGGGTAAGATTCAAATGAGTATAACTTCTTCAATACCCAACGAAATTGGGTGAAACAAAAAAGAAAGTTGTAGTACTCGACGAGACGAAGAGATTGATACATTGCACACCGGCCAACTCACCGTGGTTTGGCCGGAAATTGCCTCGAAAGTGGCATTGCTCGCCGGAAAAACTGGAAAAGTCTTCCCCGGGTTATTTCTGTGCTATATCCTCGATCCGCAAACATATCTCAAGTTAGATTTAGGTTACAGGGACGAAAATGAGAAGAGTTCAAGTGTCCCGAGGCTTACCTAAATCGGAGGGACGAGAAACCTCGCCGGAGTTCTTCCTTCGAACCAACGCTCGATGATTCCTGCTTCTTCGTCGATTTTTAAGGATGCAGGAAGGGAGACGGAGGATGCTGGTGGTTCAGCAGCGTGTGTATGTATGTCTGTGTGTGTGTGTGTGTGGAGCTCGGGCAAAAGGAGAGAGTGCAGAGAGAGAGCACGGGAAAAGGAAGAATGAGAGGACTGAGAGGGAAGAGAGAAGAGAGACTCGGGGGACAAAAAAATCAGGGGTGGGCCCTTTGGGCACACCATTTAAAGGTCAAAAATCATTTTTAAAAGGAAAGTATCCCTACACTTACTGAAAATACAAAAATACCCTCTTTGTTCCGTAAATTCCAAGACGGGTTGTTACACCCTGCCTCTCTTTCTCTCTTTCTCCTCCATCAAACCTGAATAAATAATTCGATTAATCCCAATGCTCTGAAACTTTCCCAATACCAAACACAATCACAATGGTGTGAGGAAAAAAAATGGAATTCCAAAGAAAATGCAACTATCAGCAGCAAAACCAAAACGCAAGCAAAAAAAAGAAAAAAAAGAAAAGAAAGATGTAATAGATATCCAGCAAACCTCCAAAGACTTTGGACATGGACATTCTCTTAAGGGTAGTGTCCATCAAAATCCTCTTGAATTAAAGGTGCGTTTGCGAAGAGTTTTACGGTTTGCAATTCAAAATCAGGAAATAGACACATCGTGTGTTTGAATTTAAATGGAAAAGGTCGCACGAAGTGCGAACCATAGGAGATAGAAAAAAATAGAACCAGGAAACGGACACTGCAAGACAGTGTCTAAATCGCAACGTAAAAAAAAAAAAAAAAAAGGAATCATGAAACAGACATTGTAAAAAACAAAATCAAGAAACGGACATTGCATTGCAGTGTCTGAATCCAAATGTAAAAATAATATAAGAAAAAGAACAGCAAACGGACATTGCATTGCAGCTGTAATGCCACATTTTGGAATTTTTGTTTATCTTAAATGCATTTAAGTATCACAATACATGATTGACTTATTTATAATTAGCATAAATATGATTGATATATTATTAATATGGTAACTTTTTATTGATTTTATACCAAATCACCCTTTTTTAATCTATTTTAAAACTTATATGGATACATTCTTTTTTGTTAATTTGAGAATGTATCCATGTCAAGTTTAATCAAAGAAATTTACTAATGTTATTACGCCTAATATCTTTTTTTTTTTTGTGGTTTTGAATAATGTACCATGTTGTGGTACAATAATTTATTTCTTTTTGTTAATTTTGATAATAGTACCCATGTTTATATATATACATTATGTGAGAGTGTAATTTATTTTATTATTTTTAAACCCACATAGTTTGTAATTTTAAAAAAAATCTAGTAATCTACATAGAAATACACTATTACATTAATGGTAGGGACTTCGATAAAAAATTAAAAATTAACAAGGTTTCAGCAAATAATACTAATAGTTATGGATCACATCCAAAATGTCCCAAATAAATAATCAAACCATTTACAACGAAAAAGTCTTGAAATTTCAAAAAAGTTGATAGAGAGGGGTTACTTACGGTGGCAGAGACGGCCATGAGAAGGAATTGGGACGAGGTGAGGTGAGAGAGTGCACTGAGGCGGATTAGGGCTTAGGGTTTGACAGAGGGGGGCAGAGGATCGCCATGTTCTAGCAGCTCTCGGCTACCTAATCATTGCCAAGGTTAGCTGAAAGGACACGTGACAGATGATTAGGTGTATGATGAACATACACCATAATTTATGGTGGTGAGGAAAAATGCTTCCTAATCTCTAACATTCTTGAACAAGCATAAAAATAAATAATTCAAACCATTTATCAAGAAAAAAAAAAAGCCTTGACATTCAGAAAAAAAAAATTGAAATTTATGAGTTTAGAGAGAGTTTCTTAGGTGATAACCATCACCATCACTCGAGGAGGGCAATAAGCAAAAAAAATTCATGAACAAATGTGTACAATCTACCCTGTCATTTTGTGTCTATCTAGCAAAAGCCACAAAATTCAACCAGCTGTCCTCCCAGCAACTTTGAATGAATATCTTTTCATAGAAGGAAAAGTTACTTTTCTGTAAAATATTTCCCTACCAAGTACCAACTCATCTTTTGAAGAAACCTTCTGGTGATGACTGATGGGCAAGTAAAAAGTCGTTAGACTCGCCCAAATGGATTGGTTTGTTGGCAATGTTTAGGTTGTTGAATCTTTTACGGTGAAAATTAAATTCATCTTCTTCTAGTGGCTCGCTCTAAGTTGGACGAAATTATATTTATATTTGTTAAATTAATTTAATATTTGCAGCGACGGAGTTAGGATTTTCAAGTAATAGGATCATAATTGACAACAAAACTTCATTGAACCATTTCGTCTAGCACTCGGCGGACACTTGTAGATTCTTGTCGACATTTACCAAAATCTTACGCCAACGTATGTCTCGACAACTACTATGATTAGTAGAGACTTTTCGAAGGCAGCTTATAGGAAACTGTGAAGTAATGTTGAAGACTGACAAAACTTGTCAACTAAGACATTTAATGGAGCACTTGGTTCACACAATAGAGTCGTACACAATAAAAAAAGAAAAAGAAAAAACAGAGACACATGTTTGATAAAAGAGAACAAAATTAGAAGGACGAGGTTATGATTTTAGTTTGCCAAAATTAGAAGCAATGAAATATACAAAGGGATTTTGAAGCTGTTGGGGTAATTGACAACCAATGACCCCATAAGCTCCATCACTGACTACCTTGATCGTTGTTTGATCGCCCTACGTGTACTAGGACTTAACTGATTAAATTAGACTGGGACTCCGAATGTTTTTCCGTCCTAGGCACCAAACGGCTACTAGACTTGGCAAGTTATATGGGCAGTGAAAGATAGCAACAAACGTCTTTTGAGGTACAGGACCACAGGAACCCATCCACTCGGATTGTAACTTGTAAGGCCATGAACAATTTATTCATGGAGAATTATCACCATCCTAAAATCCGTATACTAGGAGGAGTAGTAGCTGGTACCAGGGAACCAATTTTGTGAAACCTTA